CTCGTACATACATACATACGTACATCTAAGAGAGTTCGATAGTAAATTGGTATCTACAATTAATGTAAGAAATGTTACAAGGCTATAAAATAAAATAAACAAGCAAGCACCGGCAGGCAACAACAGCCGCCAAGTGACAGCAGCAATAACAAATGCGGTAAATGCCACACCAACGCCGTGTTGCATTTGACATCTTCAACTGTCAATTGCCGGCATTATTTTGTTGGTGGTTACCACCGCAAATACAACAACAAATACATCAACATCTGCTGTTGCCTTCTTGGCGGTGGCATCTGCTATGGCGGCGACGGCGACGACGACGACGGCCACACCGACTGCGGCTGTAACTGTGCCAGCGACAGTGTAATGCAATTGGATGCGAGGTGAGCGCTGCTGCCGATCGGACCGGCGGCCAATTTCATGCATTATCAACTGAGTTGTAGTTGTTTGTTTTCTTTCCCTTTTCAACGGTGCCTATTCACTTAGTGTTTGTTTCTCTTGGTCCACCTACAACTCATTTTACGTCGCCATCGCTGTGGTTTGTTCTGGCGTCGCAACATGTTGCGTATTTATTTTCTTATTTCCCTATATAAATTGTGCGTATCTACTACATACATACATATTTATGTGCTTCACTTTGTTTCCTTAGCGACGAACGAAAAGGGCGGTTCTGCATGTCATCGTAAACTTGGTTTGGGGCACCGCTGGCTTCCTGCCTCCGTCTGGACCGGACCGGCACACAAAACGGCTAATTTACTTTTCACCAACAATTTTCTTTTCATATAAATAACTTATCCGAGATCTCTGCATGCTTCTGTGTGTGTGTGTGTGCACATACATATGTACATATGGACGTGTGTGTATATAGACATATCCTGGGTGGTGGCACTCACTTAAATTTCATAATAGTACTTTGGTTTAATTGATTACTACTGCCTCTGCCTTATTTGCCCCTTGAGATACTTATTCTTAAAACGCAGGAGGAGGCTTAGAGGATCGGCAGATAAAGATGGCTGATTGCTGACTTCTGTCTGGGGATGATATTATCGGGGGGTTGTTACCTCATTTCATGGTACAAAAAATTGCTTTCTACACAAATAGTACATACATACATACATACATTATGATGATGCTAATGATGATGTTGAACTTGTCGACATGACGTGACGTGAGCACTTACTCATAAATTATGAGGCATTGCGTTTGTAATCGATATTTGTATTTGTATTTGAAGTATGTATTTTTCTTCGTTAGTAGATATGTATGTATGTTTTTATGCATGTACATATTGCCATTCATGAATGTACATATACATAGATACAATTAGATCCACGCGACAGTCAGTTTACATTTCGCACACCTAAATCTAAAGTGCGATCAACTAAAAAAAAAAATGTCTAACGATTAAAAAAAAAAATGTCTAACGATTTTTTTTTTTGCATAAATCAATTCATAGGACTCACATCCAATTAATGCGAATATTTTTTCTTCATGATTATATATATATACATGTACATTAACTAAACCACTACTAGTATAGGTACCTGTTGTTTTTTTTTTGTTAACTGCGTTGTACAATCCACAATCCGTTATATTTCCCTCTCTGAATTTTGAGTTAACTCACTTTAGATCTAGGTGTGCGATATTTGCATCCCCTACTGTAATTGAGGCTGCGATTTATTCGGCGTATAAAAGTTTCAACTGTTTTTTTTTTTTAAATCTTGATTTTTACATTATCGAATAAATCAGATTTTCTTTATCGAACAAAGTGTTTTTTTTTTATTTCATACAAATATTGACCTCCCAATGACAGTTTTGAGTTTTTTCGAAGTTTTCAAGGCTTTTTCCAGTTTAAGGGAAACCCTTAAATAGTTTAAAAATTATATCCTAGGTCATTTGGGATGAACAGTATATAATATTTGTTTCCAACAAGAGCCTATGCACACTATAGACCAAACTAATTTAGTCAAGTTGGCCTCGGGTCACGGTTGCCGAGACGCGTGAAAATGCTTCATTTTAATACGGGCATATTTGATTCGAATATTTGCATTATACGTAGTGTATGTATAATGAAAAAATCCATTTTGTTAACGCTTTTCAATTGATTTAAAAACGAACATTTTTAAACGGTAATCAGATAAAAAAATTTTTATTCTTACAACGCGTTTTTTTTCTCAGTGTAGTTATTTTAGTTTAATACTTAAATTTAAAATGTAGATAATCTCCAAATCTAGGGTTAACTCACAAAAAACAAGAAACGCGGTAAATAACCAACACCCTAAAGTAATACATCTATGTATGTATACGTGTCTTTGGTGTAGGTATAAAAACAGCATCCCCGACTTCCCTTTTACGTCTGCAATTATTGTACATATTAGGGGCATTCTATGGGTCTTGCAAAGGCCTTGCACGGTGCACGGATTGCACGGTTTGCAAAGCTGTGCCCATACGAAAACCGGTTTTACCGTACAATCCGTGCAATCTGTGAACCGTGCAAGGGCTTTGCCAGACGCGAAGAATACCCCTGTTTAAGTTTAAGTTAAGGCGATATGAGACACCATAGACACACTCGTACATATGTATGTATATACATTAGGTGTATAAGCTAAGACTAACTCTACATAAATACAAAGCTAATAGATTCATATAGAAGTATGCAAGAAGTATTTTAAATATTTAGCGTCGAAGAACTGATAACGTTCGAGAACGTTGGCTGGTTGCGCTAGCTGCCACCTCCTAAAATCGCCGAAATGCTAAATCCTTTCCGTTTGGGTGGCGAATGGCTTATTATGCTCTCCAGTTGGAACATCTGTGTCACATTAGCTTCCACTGCAGAATTTGATTTCCCCTCTTCGCTATCAATGGCTCGCGGCGGCGGCGGCTCCTCAGTTTCGACGCCAAGCGAATGAGGGGGAATTTCGGCAGCATATACAGTGGTCGATGAATCGACAAGCGGGGGACATGATGAAAATTGCTCAGGAGCTGATGGCATTGCAGCGGGCATTGTTTGATCTTCGGCGGCAGCGTTTGCTGGGTGCCCGTATTGTGCATAAATGGGCTGCGATCGGCCGAAATAGGTACAAGCCAAGTCGACAAGCGTTGGTCGCAGCATTGATTGCATGTTTTGCTGTAAATGTTGCATGAATGACGTGTGGCCACCGTTGGCGAAGACAACACCACCACCAGCAGTCGTCGGCTGTGGTAGCTGCGACGACCATTCAAATAAGGACGGTTGCAAACTCGTTTCTTCAGCCACAAACAAATGAGACGCGCGTTCGCTGCCCGCATGCGCATTAACGATCATCTCCTCCAGCGGTGTCGATGCTATCGACCCGGCGGACTCATTTGATCTCAGGCGCTTAATTTGCGGTCCATCGTCATCTGTATCGGCATTCGCCACAATGTCAACGTCTACATAGGCGATGTGGTCGCTGTTGGGATGCGCCGCCTTATCGGAACAAATTGATGATCCCGACTCGCTGGTCACTGCCAACGTTGTTGACATTGTCGGCGACAGAACAACACTACGCTGACTGTGGGAATGACTTTGTGACTGCGATTGTAGTTGTCTTGCTCCGTGGTGGCGCCCAGGTTGTTGATGGCATTGCGGTTGATGTTGTTGTTCTGAGTCCTCATCGGAAGGCGATGAAGACATTTTGCGTTTACTTCGCGATTGGCCTGTTTCGCGGAACCCTTTCGCGAACGGGTTGTTGTCGATCTTCAATTTGGTGATGCGATCATTCTGTGAAATGCAAAGTGCAAAGATTAGAACTGCGAATTTACAAAATGTATTTGTATGCATATAAGGTTATAATTGTACACATGTATGTGTAGATATATGTACACAATACAATTTACGATTTTGTTCAATACGCGTCAGGTGGCGTATCTACATACCTAAATACATATACATAGTAGATACATATGTACATTAAATTTCAGCAGCTAAATGCTGTGCGAGCTGGCAACGTCGGGAGATAGTTTTGAGGCCGTTCATTCTTCCTATATATAGGAATACTACAGGTTTTATTTTTTTCTTTTGGTTATTCGTGGCCTAATACTTTATATACCTATACGCTTGAAATAGTAGTTTGTAACTGTATGTTAATACAAATTTTAATGTTCACACATATACCCACACACACACACACATACATATGTATGTATGAGGCAAGCCATCAGGAGTCAGGCCATAGCCATGACATAACAGTTTTGGTAATTTTAACGCTGTCAGAGAATGGACATTGATTTGGTTAATTAGAAATGTTCAGACTGGCGCCCTGAGTGAGGAAAACAAAAACACAGCAAGCGCTCAAATTATCCATTCAGACATGTATCTACTTAACTGGCACAAAAACTCGACGTGAACTTGCTGGAATCGGTTGCAATTTTCGGGTCAATAATAGGCGTTCCATGCTAATTTGTTCAGACGACCAATGTAAATTTGTGTGCCCCTTTTGAGTGGGCCCGGCGTTTTGTGGTGTACATATGTACGTATGCATGTATATGTATCTACAAACATATCTACTTACATATTGAAAATGCATACATTCACAGTCGGCAAAATTACGAGCGTTTCTAAATCAATGCTTTCAGGAAGAAATTTTTTGAAAATTTGCTATAAAAATTTTAATGTTTTAATCAGATTTTTAGAAAAATTTAGGGTATGCATTTTTATAGCCAATTTAATTTCAGTATAATTAGGTGCAAGTTCGAAGTTGTGCACTTTCGCCACCGCCACCGAAATTTATCACTCGAAGGCCAAACAGAGGTACAGGATCGTAATGGATTACCCGGCAGTTCTGGGTGTCCTACGACCCACTTAAATCCAAAGCTCTCTTAGGAATGAGCAAAGAAGACACCTACAAACTTACTGCCGTATGCACAGGGCACTGGCCCGTCGAAAACTTCCTGTGCGAGTATCCAGTCCTCGCAAGGATGAGGCTAAAGACACTCTGCAAGCCATTCCTGTAGAATGTTTTAGAGTGCTGCCTCCCTCTGTATGACGTAAGAAATTCATTAAAGTCGCCAAATGGATTTAGGTTGCACGAGCTCTGGAATTAAAATGGCAAACATTCTCAAACTATGTTTTAACCGACTTCCAAAAAAGGAGGAGGTTATCAGTTCGTCGGAATATTTTTTATTTTTTTTATTTTTTTTTATGTATGTTACCGCATAACTTTGCACCACGATTCAACCGATTTCAATAATTCTTTTTGCAACGGAAAGGTAGTGTCTCAGAGGTGGTCCCATACTAATTTGGTTTAGATCCGATTATTGGATCATGAAATATATAGATATATATATATTTTTTTAAGTCGGTTTTTTTTTTTTGCTAAAAATTACTTGTTTACTTTAAATGTTTCTATTTACACAAGATTGTAAAAGGACTGCCTGATTTACAGCAAATTTACACACAAAAAAATTAATATATTCGCGAAACTATAGGTAAATTATAGTAAAACTGCGTGCTTAGTTTTTCTCTCCGGCGTCAGGACTTTTTTTAGAAGGATTTTGAAATTTTAAAAATATCAAAAAATAATTTAAAAATTTCCGTGCAATGTATAGAAAAAATCCTGTAGAATTATACAGAATAAATTTTTTGGTGCATAAGGACGAATGTGTATGGAAAATGTCCTTTACAAAATTTGTCCTTAAATATCCTTAAAATTTGCAATATATATATTTTTTTTGTTATTATTGCTTGAGGACTAATATACGCACGACCTCATCATCGAATTTCGTCCTGCAAACTTTATTAACTTAAAAAGATAAAATTTATTAAAATCGCATTTTCAATTCCTATTCGTCCTTTTAAACCAAAAAACTTTATTATTTTTAAATTATACAGAATTGTCTCTCTCATTTGGTTCCCATATTGTTATTCTACATTGCATTGATTTAAAAAAAAAAATTTGAATTTAGCATACCTTTAAAATTTCAAAGTTCTTTGAAAAAATCACACACAGGGTGTCCCTGCGGTATTCCAGAAAAATTTCAAAAAATGGTAAACTTTAATGGAATGAATAAAAACATATGTAAAAATATGTTATTTTTGATTATTTTTTTTTAAATAGTATCTACGTGTTTTAAGCTTTTATAACACCATAGATAGTAGAGAGCTACAGGATTCAAAATTTTGGGATAAAATTAAACTCAGGGCGTTCCTGCGGTATTCCTGGAAAACAATTTTATTTATGAATATAAAAATATATGTAAAAATATGTTATTTTTTATTATTTTATTAAATGGAACGGGGTTTTAGCTTTCGAAAGAAGAAATAAAAACCTGCTAATTTTTTGCATTTTTTGAAGTAGTGCCATCAGATCTGCCATCAGATCTGCACGATTCGTTCTATATTCAAAAATGAAGTGTCAGATTAAAAAGCTTGACCTGTAGACAGTAGAGGTTTATTTTTTTTAAAGAGTTGCCACCTCTTAAAAAAATTAAATTAAAATTTTTTAATAAGTTAAATGAATTATTAATAGATGAGTATCAATCGAAATGTGTATGAAAAGGGTTAAATTCTTAACTACATGTAGAGGGTTGCCACCTGTTAAGAAATCAGATTCCATTGGAACTAAAGGGCTTAGGTTATTTAAATAGATAGGTATCACCATATGGGAGTCAGACGAAAGAGATTTAAGGCGGTTTTAGCTTGCAAATACTACGAAGAGGGTTGCCACCTCTTTGTAAAACAAGTCAAATGTAGTTAAACTAAAAGAATAATTGTGTCAAACCAAAGGCTTACGACATCGCATTTGTTGTTTTATTACAAATACATACATTGCCAATCAGTGATTTGTTCTGATTAAATTTCTTTTAAATTACTAGACTCTTAAATTAACTCAGGAATCTTTTTACTCTTCACTTATTTGTCGTTAAATATTTATGTACAATTTTTTCATTTGTCTGATACTCATATTGATAAACATGATTTGATTTTTTGATTTTTTGAACATGTGGCAACCCTTCTACGTGTCGTTTTAAAGTAAAGCATTTTCAAAACTATTTCAATTCATACCCATATTGCAATATCTAGTTCATTTAACTTATTAAATAATTTTAATAAAATTAGTAACAGGTGGCAACCCGTTTCAAAAAATAAAACTTTATTGCACATCTACATGCCAAGCCCTGTCATTTGGCACCTCACTTTTGAAAATAGAACGAACTATATGTAAGTATCTACCTGTGTAAATGCCACAAGAACCCAAATTTTCAACTTCAAACTGCAGTTACAGTGAAAGTATGAATGGCACCAAAAAAAAAAAAAACAAATTGCATTTTTGAATTTAGCGTCCTAAGAAGCGAATTTTTTCATTTATTTAAATCCGTCCATAATTCTATTTTTGCCCACATTTCATATGGCAGCGAAGCACTGTGCGTCAGAGTGAAGAACTAAAAACGCAGTTTTACTATATTTGGTCCATAGTTTCGTGAGTATGTATATCGATTCTTTCGTGTGTTATCTATTTTTTTTACCGCCAATAAAATGCTACGAAAATCTTTTTTATTGTATATTTGACTAATTTAAAGCGCTTATTTTTGAATTTTGAGTGCTTGAGGTTCCGAGCCCTAGCTACGACACTGTAGCATTCTTTAGAGCAGGACCAAATTGAAAAACTAATTTCTACGAAGAAAATTTATGTATGCATAATAAATAGCTAATCGCAGAATTATGTTGCTTAGTAACCTGACGGTGAACTCCACTTTTTGTATGAAAATAGGTAATGTCCCGAAATACATAATTCCAAAAATCGCGAAACCTAAAGAGTGCCCCGATATATACATACATACATTTATAGCGGCTGCCAGCATATGTATGTATTGTGACTAACCTGATATGCCGTAACTGCTACAAACTCGGTTTCCGGAAATATAAATGCCTGTTGTGGCGCCCAAGGTATTTGAGTTAAGTCTGCAGTTCGTATCACATGTATGCGTGGTTGATACTTGTGCATGCTGGCCAAAACAATCTGTAAATAGAAAGTATACAAATATGTACGTACATATGTATATATGAATGTACCTATGATTGTATGCATTTGCCAATGGATTCTAAGCTGTGATACCAAGCACATACATATGTACTTTTAAGGACATACCTACAATACTTACATACTTATGTACATACATATGTGCAAACAAATATGTATTCTTACTATACATATACATATGTATGTACATATGTACCCAGCAGCGAAAATGCTGAGAACGCCACCAACTACAGAGTCGACACCAAAGTAATGCAATCGCATTACAATATGCCTGAACTGCTTCTCAAATGTAATCAATTTCAATGTATGAAATACTTACTAAATCAATGTTTTTCGAATTACTTTCATCGATTACCGCCAATGTCACGCAATGTTAAATGTAATGTATACTTCGAAAGCGGAATCAAATGCCATTACTTAACATAGGTGAGGCATCGATGCGGAACGCATTCCATTCGCTGCTGGGTATGTACGTACATATGTACGTTTTTGAACTCTAATACATACATGTGTATAATAAATTATTATTATTTTATTATTATTTTATTAATATTATTATTATTAATAATTGTTACGTCTCAAAGGATGCAGATATCCTAAATACTTAAATATGTATGTATATAAATATTGAATGTACAGTGGAATCGCGATAATTCGTACCCTGTTTATTCGAAAATCTGTATAATTCTTAATAATATGTTGGTCTCTTGAAAAAGTTACGTTAACTCGCAAATTTCCCGGGTTAATTCGTATTTTTTTGACAATGGATATTCATTTCTTATAAATCGTAATTTGTTGTGACAACCCTTTTGTAATTCTTAGCGCCAAGAAATTTGCTGTGCAGTTGTACGTTTATCTAATAGTTCGCTTCCACCAGTTCTTAACTGTAGTTTATGCCTATTGGAAAAAGAAGATTACAACTTGAAGGGGGAAGTAGTTCATATTAAGTACAAGCGAACAAAAAGAAAAAATTAACTTTTCCGATCACCCCATGTTGAAATTCTTGGAACTTATCTGAGCACCTAACTGCAGCTAAGCCTTTGGGTGAAATGGGATGGGCTATAATGTTAACTTTTTTGTTTGAAATTTTCCGTGAGTATTTTTTCCTGGTCAGTAGAGTTTAGATGCATAGAATACAGTACTTAAGAAAAATGAAAAATTCATATAAAATTACACCCAAGAAATGAAAAATAAATTTTCTTCTGGTACATTTAATTTTTCAAGAAAATTTACGGCAACGATGACATACTTTTTCAAGCAACATAAATAATGAAAAAAAGATTACCTCATCAATTCCTAAAATGTGACTGGTCCCTTGCGATTTCGAATTATTGGGATCCCACTGTACATACCCAATTTGCCACAGGGCGAAGACACGTCGCTCTGGCGAAGTCGTTTTGGTGAACTCGAAACGACGTCGCTTTGGTGAAGCCGTTACGACGTCGCCCTGGTGAAGTCGTTTGGGTGAACTATAGTTATGAATAAATAGACAACGCCGTTTAAAGGCACCTACGTACGCCCATGCAAATGTCAGCTGCGAGGTTGTGCGCTTTAAACGACAATATGTAGGAGGTTTATGGATAGACGTAAAGACGTAAATAATTATGAGAAATGATAGTAAGAAAACATACTTACATGACCGTTACTGTCCAGGGTGTTGTTGGTAAGTTTCACTTTGTTAAATAGAATAGGTTGCGCTTGCCAGTGAGCCCCAGATGCAGGACTATCTGGGTGCAAATACATCCGTTGAGGACTCTGAGGCTCCGCGCCGCCAGCAGGCATCCATTGAGATCCAGAAAACTTGTAGCGACAATCGCCGATCGGAACCATCTCCAACAAAACACAGTAGTTAGAGTCATCCTCCAGGCCGGAAAGCGAAAGACGCATTGATGGAAACATTCGTCTGCATAAAAAAATATAGAAATATATGTACCTATATTCATGCAGCTTTAGAGTGAAAATGGTTAAAGTAAACTTTTCCAACTAATTTTTTTTTTTTGAATTATTTGTGTAGAGCTTCTAAGTACTCTAATTTGTGACGTGCGTCGTGACGTAGATGCACAAATGGAAGGACCTATAATTCACCGCCGCGTGATAGTTGGATTTTTATAAGAAGCTTTTTCATGAGAGATTTTCCCTCGAAGATTTTGAATTTCCTGCCGAGGGACGACCCCTCTATGGGAAAACATAGGTAGTACGCATGACAATTGTGTGTTTTTTTGGAAAAACCAGAACAAATATTTACATATGCACGGCTACATATATTCTACCAATAAATGAAGCAGTGGTAATATGTTGCAAAAAAACTACATAGTTCCTGGACGTATGAACAATAGGGTGGTGCAAAATAAGTAAAGTCGGAATTTTAATGCTCTCACCCCCTATATCGAAAAATATACCCCTATTTTTATTTTAAAATCAAAAAATATTTAGAGGTTCCTCAAAGCGCTCATGTTTTGCCATGTATTTTATATGAAAAAAAACTTTTCGTAGAAATGGTATGGAATTCTTGGAAATCAATATTTTTCGATCAGAAAACTCTGCTTGTCTTCAGGGGACTGACAATAGCGATGTCCAATTATTTATTTAACCATTTTTTATTACTAGAGATTTTTTAATTATCCCCATTGCATTTTCTGGAATTTTCTGGGAGTTTTGGCGGACCTATAAAATATAGTTACTTTAAAAAAATGGTTAAATAAATAATTAGGTCGAGTTTTCCGATCGAAAATTATGGATTTTCAAGAATTCTATATCATTTCTACGAAAAGTGGTTTTTTCCTCATATAAAATACAGACATGGAAACCTTTGAGCGCATTGAGTCACCTCTGAATATTTTTTGATTTCAAAATAAAAAATGGGGCTATATTATTTTTCGGTATAGAACAATCCTAGGGGGTGAGAGCATAAAAATTGCGACTTTACTTTTTCTCATGCATTTTGGACCACCCTAATGAGCAATCGTATTCATGCAGGAACTGCCACTTTTGTTTGTACATACATACATATGTATGCTTGAACAACGGATTGTTTTTAAAGGCTAAAAGGATGCGTCGAGCGGCCAGCAGGTGTCCAAGCATCCGGCGCCAACGAACACACTAATATTTTCTGTCTCAATTTGTTTGTGCGCTACCTTTTCGACTTTATTTCCAAACCATGGAGTAATTTGTGGGACAACGCGTAAATTTTTTGTTTGCTGATCGTAGCGAACATGGAGTCAATGATAGCTGCGAAATGATTAATTACCCTGTACGACATTTTCAGTTTTTTTTTTTCTGGGGAATCGAACCAAGTTTTTCTGAAAGTCTGGATTGTAGTATATAGAAAAGTTATTTCTCAGTTTTCCCAAGTTGGCGATTCTTAGCGTTGGTGGACGCTAAGCAGCTTGTTTAAAAATGTTCCTATTTGAAAATAATAATTTTATACCAAAATTTAGCACGCACGTATCTGAGTATGCTCTGGGGGGGGGAAAATAAAGCATGTTTACATGTCTGTGCGTAGCTGAGTGCCACAATTTGTTGATTTCAGGGTTCGAATTTCATTGTAGGCAACATGGAAATAAATTTTTTTTTGTCTTAATTATGAAAAAGCATCCGTGACGTGCAAAACGCCATACGTGCAAAAATGCTTCATTTTATTATGGGCACAAATTTGAATTGAATATTTTCCACTATACAGCACTTTTATTGCATAAAGTTTGAAACTTACACTTATTAAAGAAAGAACTATATTTTTATAAAAAATTAAAAAAAAAAAATTGAATAACAAAAATATACAATATGTTAAAACTTGTCATAATGTGGTGCAGCTATAATTTTTTCGACCGCTTTTTCTTTGTCTTTCGGTCAGATTTCTCTTAGTCCAAGGTATGTAGGTTGGTATTGAAAATTAGTGAAATCCGGTATTTTTGAAACATGCAAAAACTGCTACTTATATCTCAGTAACTGCTGGAGCTAAATTGCCCAAAATCTTTAGCATAAAATAAAATGTGTATAAAGTAATAAATATGTACATACACATGCATACACACAGAAAAAAAAGTTGTAATTCCAACAATTTTATATTTNCTTATATCTCAGTAACTGCTGGAGCTAAATTGCCCAAAATCTTTAGCATAAAATAAAATGTGTATAAAGTAATAAATATGTACATACACATGCATACACACAGAAAAAAAAGTTGTAATTCCAACAATTTTATATTTAATTT